AACAAACAGGGGCGGAGACAAACCACTAAAATGTTTGGAAACACTCATTGTGTGTCAGATAGCTACTGATAACACATCCTAACATTGCTTTGTCTTGAGTTTATCTTTGAAACTTATAGGCACACAGATTAAACCTGTGTTATTGATTTTGGAAAACACTACTGAGGCTGCCTTGCTTCCCCTTCAGAAAATCTACATTTTAACCAACTTACATGACATTCTATGTTATGTTGACTTTATCACATGAAAGTTTATAGTGCATTTCATCAATTAATAAATAAATGTGAAAATCGTAATTTTCAACACAAATAATAGTCTCTCTACCTTAAGTGTCATCTAATAACCAGTACAAAAAATAGATCTTGTATTGAAATCTAGTAAAAATTCGATGTAATGAGCACAAGCACTGAAAGACGTGTCTAAACTGCGCGGCAAATTAATTGTGAGTGACGTCATATGGCTTCCTTAGCTAGGTCATTTGTTTATAACTGTAGTAACCCATGTTGCACGCCTGATGTTGTGAAATTCTTTGTTTTATAATCCAGTTGCCCGTCCCTCTCTTTCTAAGGTCTATAGTTACACATGTTTCCATTTCAGATAGTCAAAAAATGATTATTCAATATGTAATGGCTATCCAGTGTAAAGTATTTTTTTGATGCATGTAAATATTCTCAATTTGTTGACAGTTACCGAAAAAGTTTGGGAAAATGAATCAGCTGACAGTGAGCCTGAAGAAGTCAACACTAAACAAAAACAACAAACAAATTCCAATCCCATCAAGCTTAAGAAAAAATCTCCAATGAAAAGCAAACAACCATCCTTAATGAGTTTCTTCAAGAAAAAATGAGTTGTAACAGAGAAGAGAATGTTTACTCCAATGATTTATTTACCAATAAATGTGTATGCAGTAGAAGTGCATGTATTGTATTTCTTTATTTGATAGAAGCCCACTAATGAAATTCCAAGAGTTGATGTTGTTAATCTTTAGTCTGATATCACTTATTCAAACTATTTGTTGAGCTGAACACTTTTCATTTACCTGTAGACCAGTTATGCACTCGTAATCCAACATATACCAGAGTTTTGTACACCTGCTCAAACAATGGACCTTGATACTTTTTAGAGTGAAATTTAAAGATGGCTGCCGCCAAATTACCAAGGCGACTTACATGTGTCTCGTATGAACAAAACCAATGATTTTCAAACTTTATTGAACCACAGGATTTTGGTAATCACTAGAAAAATATAGGAGAACTATCTTTTCCTGTATTGGAAAAACGGAAGGTTGATCAGTGGTCTCATACTGGGGTATAAGCAGAATTTGATGTTGAGACTACTGTAGATCATCGCATAATTCTTTCACAATGCTAGCATTAATCACACCGAAGTCAACAGAGCAAGTCTATTTATATTACTATAATAATATAATATTAATATAATAATAATATTACTGGTTCAGGACTTGAACAATATAGTTGAGAGGACGCCCATTTTTAAGACAAATTTCATAAATTGCCTTATCATATAATAGTAGTATAAAGAATAATATATTTTACAAAGTGCACCAAAGTAAACTCCTTGAGCATTGAGGCAATTGCTGTGGATAACTTTGTGAAGTTCAAGGCTGCACTTTTTTACTCTAGCATCAACTTAATAATGGGGACTGCTTTTCCAGACAGGACCGTAGGTGGATCTGTGTATTTGAGTTCTCCCCAGACCATCATAAAGTCAGCACTTCCTACCTTTACTATTAGATAAACAATAGAACGTAATTATCATAACAATAGAACGTAATAATCATAACAATAGACACGATAGAAGTGATTAACATAATTCTGTTATGACATGGGCCTTGAAGTTCCAATCTGAGAAATGACATGGGTCTTAAAGTAGTGGTAGTTTTGACTAGATACCAAGTTGAACATTATTCACCAGTTTATTATATCTTTGAACATACATGATATACAATTGCGATATTCTTAATTGAATGGTGAAAAAAATAATATAATTACTTCAAAGATATCCAAAACTATATCATTTTCATATTTACATTATATAAAAATATTTGCCCTATTCCCCCCTATAAAAGATAATCGAGATAAGTTGATTATAATCTCTGTTCAATGGTGCCATATTTGAGCCATTAAAACAGTGATTTGTATATATATTTGTTATATTCATAGGGTAGTATAGAGGATATGCTGTATTCTACTCATCTACAAGTGTAGTCTTGAGAGTACCCTGACTTCAATTCTGGCTATTCTTGAGTAGTGCGTAATAAAATGTTTAAATAATGAAAATGGGTGCGAGCTTAATTTAAGAAACTCCTGTCACGTTATTAACTTGCAACACTGCCCTCTGTGGTGTTCTGGACTGCTACTCTCTGTGGTGTTCTGGACTGTTGTTGCCCTGTGTGGTGTTTTGGACTACTGCCCTCTATGGCGTTCTGGACTACTGTTATTCTTTTCATCTTCTTTCAAGGTTCTCTGATTCTGGCATAGATTGACCCGTTTCTCAATTTCCCTGGGTTTCAATGTCCTCAATAATTTTGTGATTTCACGATGGCAGTCTTCGCTACAATTGTCATACAGCTGTTTCTCTTTTTTTTTCAGTTTCTTCAAACGATCTGCAAAACACAACATTTGGTAATTTTAAAAATGTATTTAAACAGTTGTTACATTGTTATTCAATGATAATACAAATGTCATAGTACTGGATAATAAAATATAAAATAACTTGTTCGATGTCATGAACTCTACTATGGTTCGGTAGAAATATAATATATGGAGAAGGCGTAGTTGGTAATCATAGTCCTTAGTAAATGGACAATATAACCAGATGTTTTGACCAATGGTTTTCTTGTATCTGAATCAAGTGAGAGATCATAGATATTCTATTCTACTGAAAAAGGGCCATCATTTGAAACTACATTGCACTGGTTATTTTAATTACACTATGATTACATACTATCATCTTCATATATTTATCGATCCGAGCAACTTTCTCTAATTTTTCAGTTAAAATAAATCTCTATTGTCTGTGCAATGTGTTCTTTATTGATTTCCATTTTGTAACCTAAAAGCATATTTAATCAAATGAGATGGTTGTTTAAATGAACAAAATTTTCACTCACGTTCTGTGCTAGCGCCTGTCAGTTCAAATCTTCCTTGGGTGTCTTGTTCTCGTAACTGAACAAAATCTTCAACTGATAGTTTCAGTATTTCAAAATTTCTCATTTCACCTGCGATATGAAAGACGATGTGAGTCATTGGTCATGTGATATCATCTTGAAGATAATACAGAGTTCATTATTTGATTTGACCTTTCCTTTGCCCTATTACCATACAGAAAGTACACCTACCTCCTTCTATTTGCCATTTATGTAGTTCAGTAATCTTTTCTTTTAAGTTATCTATTGCATATTGCTGTATGCCGGTATGTTCCATATTTTCTGCTGAGTTGCGTCTATACTCGTATATTAACAGTGTTTCTCTATCCAGTAAACAGGTATCATCTTCTGTAACCATCACGGCACCATCAGAGTCACCTGGTGAAAAGATAATGATCATAACATTGTTTATTCTTTTGTTAAAACTCTTTGTAACATTAGGTAACCCTTTAAATGCCATAGTTTTACTGACAAAAATGTGCGCAACGTTTTGCAAATTTTTTGGTATATTTTTTCAATTTAATTTTGAACCAAACAAATATAATTTCCTATTTCATGAGTCTTGATCACAATTTTTTTTTTTAAATGTTTACTTTTAATTTTGTAAACGGTGATAAAAGTTGACTCTGACTCTCAAGAAGGTTAATTTTCTCCCATTCAACGCCAATGACATGCTGAATTGTATATACAATCTCATATTTTAAAACTATTCATCCACAACTTACCAGGACAACTTTTACAACATTGTCCTAGAATATTGACAGGATTATCGCATGCAAGTTCATGATCTTCAGGGCAGGTGAGTCTCTCGCATTTCGTTTTTGTGTTCTGTAAAAAAAAAAATTTAATTATATTACAAAAATGTTGAAGCTTTCAGATGTTAAAAACTAAACCTGGGTTATTAAAATGACAACAATGTAGAACATCCATGTTTGATTGTTCACACACTCAGTGTCTCTGTTTCTCATTTTTGGTGATTTGTTGTAAAACCAAAGACAGTTTGTTGCCTGAAAAAAGACTTCATTAATATTTAATGTAGTTACTAACACATCTGTTGCTATTTTTGTTTTTGTTTGCTCTTTTGTTTGTCTTAATCGAACAAATTCATGATTAATTGATCACATGATGCAAAGCACAGTGATGTCATTTAAAACAATCCAGGCATTCAACAGATGCAGACATGTTGACATGAAACACATTATTTATGGTGTTAAATAGTTCATAATATGTATAATTAATTAAATTATTGTATAATTGATCACTCAAATGTAATTTGATTATAGACACATTTTTGTTAATTTATGCAAGTGTATGCGCTACTAATAGAGGAAATATGGTAATCATGCATGTATCGTTTCAGTACTTACCCTGCATGTGCATATAATACAGTTCATTTTACCAAATGGAAATAAATAAGGATTCCAAGATTTACCATGCTCATAAATCTGACCATTAGAAAGGCATTCTGGGAAGATAGAAATATACATACACATATATTGCCATAACATAATGCCAGTCTTATTACCATGCAACCTTGACCCAACATACAATGGAGTTACAAAATAAGTCACTTAAAAATTTGTTCTCAATGTGTAGTTGACCTACCTCTTCCGTCAGATGTCTCTTCAGGTTCTTTCCATGATGTCATATCTTCTATTTGATCTTCTTCCTCCTCTGCATCCTCTGCACCGATACCTTTGATTGGACCAGATAGTATCACTTCTCCTTTCAGCACATCAGAAAATAGATGTTCTCTTGCTTTTTGCTGATTGGTGGCACCCTCACTGTAGTCAGTATCATAGTAGTCATACTCCCAACGATCCGTCTTATCTGTAGACACACAATAGTCCTATTACACAATAGTCCTGCTATTACACAATAGTCCCATTATTATACAATAGTCTCACTATTACAAATTAGTCTCGCTATTACACAATAGTCTCGCTATTACACAATAGTCTCGCTATTACACTATAGTCTAGCTATTACACTATAGTCTCGTTATTATATGATAGCCTCGCTATTACACAATACTCCCACTATTACACAATACTCCCACTATTACGCAATACTCCCACTATTACACAATAGTTCCACTATTACACAATAGTCTCGCTATTATACGATAGCCTCGCTATTACAAAATACTCCCACTATTACACAATAGTTCCACTATTACACAATAGTCTCGCTATTATACAATAGTCTCGCTATTACACAGTAGTCTCGCTATTATACGATAGCCTCGCTATTACACAATACTCCCACTATTACACAATAGTTCCACTATTACACAATAGTCTCACTATTACAAATTAGTCTCGCTATTACACAATAGTCTCGCTATTACACTATAGTCTAGCTATTACACTATAGTCTCGTTATTATATAATAGCCTCGCTATTACACAATACTCCCACTATTACACAATACTCCCACTATTACGCAATACTCCCACTATTACACAATAGTTCCACTATTACACAATAATCTCGCTATTATACGATAGCCTCGCTATTACACAATACTCCCACTAATACACAATAGTTCCACTATTACACAATAGTCTCGCTATTACACAATAGTCTCTCTATTACACGATAGTCTCGCTATTATACGATAGCCTCGCTATTACACAATACTGCCACTATTACACAATAGTCTCGCTATTGCACATTAATTCCACTATTCAGAGTAATAATATTCAATATTCAGCTAATTTAGAGTGCCGGTCAAGGCCGACCAGCGTGGCGAGATCCCTGACACTGTAGTCCCGCTATTACACTGTAACAATGTAGTTCATGGCCATAATGCATGTTTTTATATTTTGTCATGTGGTCTGTAGTAATATTGGTTGAACTCACCTGGACAAACAGGACAACACGAATCTGGCAGTATTACAGATTGTGGACAGTTCACTACTGGACAGTTACGCAATGCACAAAATACACGTGAATCCTGTGGTAGGTAATACAAAGCACAGTATAAGATACTAATACTTGTCTTTGTTTATGTCAACATGCATTGTTTTTTTTACATATCAACCAGCTAATAAGTGCACATTTACAACCAAGTCAGTAAGTTAGTAAGTCAAATCCATGTTCATGACTGACCTTTATATAAAGACCACCCTCCCATAGTGTGGACAGTCCCAATCCAATTTGCATATATAGGGATCTATATAGATGTCTACTCACCGAGCAGCTACACTGCACGCATTGGTCATCACGATGAGAGTTAAATACGCCCTCTATTGAGAACAGTTCGCCATGATAATAATCCTTGTCTGCGTAATGACAACTACTACCATGGGTTTCTGATAAAGACACTCTGCCAAGATCTGAAAAAAAGGTTTTTGAGATTGTTATGGAGTATGTCGAAATTAATATAAGATTTCATAAGCAGATGTCAATGTACATTGTATACACACAAACAAACCATCATCTCCTCATCATCAGTATCCAATGCAACATTAAATTATTGAGGGCAGTGTTCATTATGATGTCATTGCTATCAACCTTTATAAAATAAAATTTTAAAATGGAAGTAGCCATTTTATCAAAGTGAAATAACATCACATGATGCTCACAACATAACATGCAGGTTAAAACTTAGTTGCTATGGACAATTTAAATATTAAGCGAACACTATATAACTTTGTTTTTGCCAGCCAGTTATCCTTCTTGTAAGCTTTTCTCTATTGAAAGTCAAAATAAATAAATACAGCTGTCAATCTTCCTAGGAATATTCCAATGTTACAATAGATATGTTAAGCACCCACAATGCTTTGCTGATGGGTAATCATATTCCCTTTGTATAAAGATTTTCCAGAGTACATTTTTCCGTCTATTCCTAATGTAGTATGTAAAAATTAGTGTTCATATAAAGCATTCTGTACCTTCACTGCACTGCTTGCAACATTGACCTGGTACAGACACTGGGTTTGGACATGACAACGCAGGACACTTAATATTCATACAGTTCACCAAACCCTGAAAATGAGAAACGAGAAAAATGTTTGATGCTGTTTTGGGATATTTAAGAGCATTATAGTCTGAGATTGTTTTGAATTTACTTCATACTCCTCAACGTACCTCTCTGCATGTACATGTGATGCAATAAAGATATCCTATTGGCTGTAAGTATGGATGCCACGATTCACCACTTGAATAACCAAGATCACCAAATGAACAGGAATCTGTGAAATAAAGAAATTAAGTGAAAGAAATCATAGTGGTTAGAATACAGGAAGCATATCATGCCACCAAAACAAATGTGTTTCAAAAATTAGGTAAGATTGATTCTGACAATTAATAATAAAAACGTCAAATTTTACTGAGATTTGGAAGAAAAAATTCTAGCTCCACATTATGCTATTGTTGAAGTTGCATGATCCTCTTGTATTCCCCTCTTACTCCTCCACTTAATCCTCTACTTCCTGTATGTACAGTAAACGTGATACTCCAAGTGCGAAATGGTAGAATGTTATATTCAATTGTTTCAAATTTATTGAACGAGGATGAAAAACTAAAAACGAGACGCGAATTGTTCCTTTTGCAGTTGTCGCCGTAAGAAAAGGAACTACGCCCCCTATGGCGTAAAAATCTGATAAATTCAAAGTTGCCAACAAATCTGGATAGTTTTATTTTCTCTTAGTATTTCAATCTCCAGGGAATAGTGTGAATTTTATTGCTACACGTGACTTAGAATGTGATCAAGAAACCTTGCATTATTTTATGGATTCCGATAAGCACCCACAATGCTTTGTTGATGTGTAATCGTATTCCCTTTGAAAGGAAACCTTATGGTATATAATTACGGCGTTCGCTAGATTTTCATACAGTACCTTGTTAGTTTTTTGGTGTTCTTTTGAATAAAATATTATTTGAGTGTATAATAATATTTTATTTTATTGAAAAAAACAAGAGTCTATATGCACGTCTGGTGAACGCGAGTTATACTAATCGAAACGTGTCACGTTTAGCGACCAATCAAATCACTACTACATTTATGCATTGCTGCTTTGAGCTCGCCCTAAACACAACCAATCTAGAAAGTACGTACTGTACTATACAGTTTGTGTTGCTAACACCAGTAAATAGTCGTCATATAAATCCACAAAGTAGAAACATACGGTGATGTTCAGCTTTGTGAGAAATTTCTGATGTGGATATCTTGTGAACACTGTAGTAGTTACATTTATTATATCACGCATTTTACATCACACCCCAAAGCCTCCAAACACTGTTTTGCCGACAAATCAACTTTAATTTAACATGTCCAATAAATACGCGTGTGTAAATATTAACTACTGCAAAATATTAATATTTTATTATCATTTGAAAAATAGCAAAAACAAAAATAACATAACATTGCTATTCATAATTCATTGAATCATAAAATATTACTAGGAAGTTGTCGAATATCCTTTGATGTATCATTCCTAAATAATTATGTATGGTCTATAAACATTTAAATTCACATTTTATTTCTTCCCGAGAAAAAGCTATTTACATTTAATGAATCTCCGGCAGTTTTCATTGTAATTTTATTTACAGTGCAAAATAGAATTCACTTTATTAGCTGATTTGCAAAGAGGTATAGCACGATAAATGTCTTCCTTTCCGTAATTACAGAGCTAAACAAATAGACCTCATCAATTCCGTAATGTTTTCATATACTTCTTATTTCCTTCTAAATTATAGCGATCTTAAAGACGAGAGAAATACGGATCATGTATATAACATTGCTTTACATTTACAAACGCATTTGTTTTTGTCTTGAATATTAAAGCACATACAATTCCACGGCGGCGGAATAAAAATGATTACATAACAAATGAAATAACTCAAAAAATCTACAATAATTGACATTAAAACTGCAATCAGGCGAAAAGTACTAGATGCAAAACAATTTCCTATTACTGTCTGATAATTATAATTCCTACTCGGGTCAATTCAAATATCATTACTTTTTCGGTCGTTGCTGTGATTGGCTACTCAGAGGTCACATGAGGTTACGCAATTTTACACTGACATGCTTGCATACTGATAATCTATAATAGTTGGTAAGTGGATAGCAAATTTACATAAGGCTGCCCTCTCAAGGCCGCCAATGTGAGGCTTATGTGATTATCAAATTAGTCTTATTTGCATATTGATTTACGAAGACTAGAAGCACAATGTAATTAGTCAACGAAGATAAATGGTTTAGCCGTTACTCAGATTAGTATTACTAGTCTGAGGACGTGAACGTGTATAATATTCGTTTTCTTCTTTGATTTGTAGGCATCGTCGGATGGGTTTTTGACTAATTGTCGTGTCCTTTGAGGTGAACATTTTTACATGCTTTGATTCAAGAACGGTGATATTTTTGACGGTCAATGTCATTGAAAAACAAATAACGTTGTCAATGTTCCTTGTTCCTTTCTTTACATGTAAACAGTCAAACATTACAGTGAGTTTATCAATTACATAGTTAATTTAGCCCATATGGTGTGAACGTCACAGTGGGTGTCGGAGGCGCCGCTAGGTTTGGCCCTTGATTTTGCATTAAGTAAACAGTTATTATAAAGTCGCCGTATAATGATGGTCCATTAATACAGTGTTGTGTCTTGAATAATTGACATTTCCTTAGCAACAGGGCCAGTCCGTACAAAACAAAAGCCTTGATTGTCACGGTGGGGCAGACTTTCGAAGATATTGCACTTTTATGTTTGTTCTTGGCAAACAAACACTCGTCCGTCGAGAATGTGATAATGAATTTTTGAAAAGTTATGTAATTTTTAATTTAAAGACAACGACACTTCCTTCCAATTAATCTAGTGCATTGTTGGATCATGTACTATGTTTTATACCGCCAATATTACCGACTCGTGTCACGCCAAGTTCTATCATTGTAGCGTCAAGTTCGCTCACAAGGTAACGGGCAACATTATTCTCAGTTTGATTGCGAGTCGTTGATATCAGGGTACATCATTCTATTAATATTTGACCTCCCAAATATTCACCCTGACAAACTACGCAGTTGAATATTGTGTTGCAGCCAGTATGGTGAGCGTTTAGAACGGGATAACCGGTTGTAGTATATTTCCAACAACTTCGTTTTGTTGCGATTCGGCAATTATTCAACAAACGTCACACTTCTCATCACGCATGCGCCGTGGCGTGGTGAGGTGTCACCAGTGCACATCAAGTAATTTTAACTATGATATTTGTAATTGTACTACTTTCTGAGTATTTAAAGTATAATGAACGGTAACAATTGACCAGTAAAGTGGAAAAGAGTGTCTCGTACAGCATTAGTAATTAGTGCCTGCAGACTGACGCCAACTTTACGTGTCTCCATGCCTCAAATATCCCCGTAACACTGACAAATCAAATTAGACGTCGTGCCAAATTTATTCTCATATCCGCTCTCTTACTTGTGAGTCAAGCCTTAAAATGAGTTACTGGATTTAATGTGTTTACCGCTAAGTTATCTGCTGGTTGACCTCAGTCTTTTTCTGTTCTGCGGTTGTGGTAAACGGTTAGAGGTGGATATGACGCCGTGCCGCTGCTATAATTGATGTGTGGTTGTTGGAAACTAAGTAGGGGCGTGTTCTTAATTTTTCACGCCAGTAAGCTTGATATACGCGTATCAATTGAGCGTTGATTTGTTATGGCAGTCGTACGGACGAAAAGTCCGATAATAATGCCTTCTCACCCGTGAATGCTGATATCGAGGGTCGCCCCCTCCCGTGTGCCACGGGGAGGGCAGAATGGGACACTGAACACGAGGGGTTGACATCTCCTCGCGTTTCTGTGGGGGGGGGGAACGCGGAATAGAACATACACAACAAGAGGTTAGCGTACCCTCACGTGTAGGAAAGGGGAGAACGGGACACAGAACGTGATGGGCTAGCACCCGAAAGTATCGCCAGGAACTTAGACTCTCTGGTAGAACTATGTGCGTGCACAACGAAAAAGAAAATGAGTAATTATAAATTCTTTGTTCTGCGCAATGCAGTCCAAACAACAGAATATGTTCTTAAGGGGTATACTTAGACTTCGGTCTACTAATATGTAACAATTTGACTAATTTATTATTCTATAGATTGATGAAAAATAAATCATGTTTTGACATTTTCAAGAGGTTATTTCTGCATTTCTGACAAATTCCGCGGGTAAGAGTCGATTTTGTGACACATGAAGAGGTTGTTCTTATGTAAAGCACATGGAGTGGAGGAGTATGCATTCTTACATTCAATAGTATTTTTCATCGGTATTTTCGAAAAATGTCGGGTTAGGGTTTGTGTTTTCCGTATTTGCTTGCGTAAGTCCCAGACATCCATGTAATGGCGGAAAGCAATGTGGCGTTGAAGTGTCAGAGTGTAAAAAGCATAGCTTCAGAGAGGGTCTTGATAGACGAAACATTGCACAATATTTAGGCTCAGTTGAATTATATGTTTAGTTAAAAATGACTTGAGGTCCGGCTGCCGGCGTATTTTAGGCGACAACTCCTACAACGCGGACGAGCGTCTGACTGCAGCGATGAAAAGAACATTCATTTAGTTTATAAATGTTTCTTTCTAGGAGTAGACATATACAGTCTCCAGGAAAAGAAAGATGCTTTGTTTATAATCGCACCCTATTCTAAGCTATTGCACAACATGTTAATAGATAGTAACTTAATTTTTGTTCGTCTATTTACAGGAGGCTCTTAATCGACTTTGTCATAATGGTAATTTGATTTGTCGCAACACCGCAACGTGACAGACTACAGGTCGCATTGGTACAACACAGCAATGTGACAGACTACAGGTCGCATTGGTACAACACAGCAATGTGACAGACTACAGGTCGCATTGGTACAACACAGCAATCTGACAGACTACAGGTCGCTTTGGTACAACACAGCAATCTGACAGACTACAAGTCGCATTGGTACAACACAGCAATGTGACAGACTACAGGTCGCATTGGTACAACACAGCAATGTGACAGACTACTGGTCGCATACAACACGGCTTTCGCCAATCCAACGTGAACGACTTCTGATTCCGATTTACGAACCATGCATAATATAACATACAGTATATTGGAAAAAAAGTCTCAAACTTGGAGAAATGTGTATGAATTTGAAAGTAACAGCAACTACCAGAATATTGTGAATCAGAATCTGTTTACATATACTGTAAAGTACTCTATTTTCACTTAGATTAATTTTTCGCTATTTTCGCTGAACTTAAATAAATCAGTGAAAATATATTTTTCCCTATGGTTTTCCTATTCAACTAATTAAAATTCAATGAAAATAAATGTTTTACCAAACAGCAAAAATTAATTCCAGCTAAAATAAAGTATTTTACAGTTCACTGATACTGTGAATCTCGCTACTATCCACCGGCAATTATTTGAATACATTCAAAAGTACAATTCCAAGAAATTAGACGCTCACCTTTTTCATTTTGCCTTGGCCGAGCATCAATACTTTTACAACCAATACATATAATAAGACTCACAGTAAGGATATGGTTCATTTTCACAACAATATCTGAAAAAAGAAAATAATCATCATACAATAATTCCATAACATATGCGTTGAAATTCGTGATCTGTCGTACAAGCTCCTAAAATCAGGTCCTCGGCAACACGTACACGAATGGTAACAAGTTGAAATGGGCATTGTTAATTTTACCTGTATAAGAACTCCTGCTGTACGGGTGGCGGTGATGTATATGGACGGGTGTATGTGTGTAGTTTACTTGAACGAGTGCAGGAAAGAAATGGTGATCTGCGCTGTTAGAGGGTCTTTATAAGTATACGTATATGTAGCAATGCGACGATGGCAATTATGTCTATTAGGGTAAATTAGCACCTCTGCGACTCCACTTTAACGAGCTCTGGCTGCACCACCTCCGAGATTGACCAAGAGTACGCGATGTGGCGACACCACGACTGTGGCTGAGTTTACCACTAGGTTTTTAGTTTGTTTGTCATGCTCACTTAATGCAGAGAGGGAGGCTGGTCTCCACTGACAAGTGTTCACAGACACAATGAAGTTTACGATGCCGCTAGACCGATCTTAATCAAAGACACCGTGTCTGAATAAAAATATTTACATGTGTGCGTTATCATTTGAGAATATCTCCATGGTTACTTGTTAATCGATGGCGTGTGTGTGGTGGGGGGTTGTACCCCCTCTTACTAAGGATATTAAGCGTCAGAGAGGTATTTCTTTGACTTCCAGTCGCTATTCCAACAGGTTGAAAATATTTGACAGTGACATAACTTGTTTTAAGCTATCATACCTTGCCCGCCGTGGCACCGAGATGTCGCTAATATTGAGGACTCATTACGGCGGCATTTAGCGACGACTAGCCTAACCAAACTGGGAAGAGACTGTTGGCTGGATTAATGCCAAATCTTCTTTTAAAACTACTTGAAAATTTCCCATCCTATCCCGTCGCTCTCAAGCTGAGTGCGTCCGGCGCTGCTCCCAAGTACAAGAAATTAACAAAAGGAAACGCTTTGTTGTTTCGCCCCAGTGACGCCTCAGTTATAGCGAATTCAGAACGTCTCGTGAGTTTTAAATGTGTTCAACTTGAAATACATCAATGCTAGTATTCTTCGGTCCTTTACATAAACCTGTATGAACCCCAATTTATGGCATTCATCCCAACCCCTCCTTCACTAAGTGGATTTCAATTGGCTGCGATGTACCTTGAATAAAAGATATTGTCAGGAGACATCAACCGAAGTTGCGCCACTTTTTAAAAAGTACGACAGCCCTCCCAGGGATATTACACCCGACCATACAACCATTGGTGTTGTCGCATGTCTTTTTACACTCGGTTTAGTTAATTGATTGGTTTCAATAATTGACTTTAGTTTACTTAGCCAGGTTGCGTTGTTTAACTCGCTTCTGAAAATAATACTCGGATCACTGCGGTATGCGGTTGTCTGTAGCAAAACTGCCACAGCTTGCCTATTGGGCAGGGTGACTGGTTCAAACATAAACATCAAATATGGTGTATGTGGTTCCGATGAGATTTCAAAATAGTTATTTAAGGTCAGATATTAACGTATGTAGAGCGCGACGTGTACTTGAGTCAAGTGCATGGTTACCTGGCAACGACCAATCTATAAAATATATTTCACATCTACATGTAAGCTTTGCTAGCCAGGTAACATTATCATTGTCAACTTCTAAATCAATCAAATTGTGGGGGTGATAGTAGACGACATTTTTGTTTAGTATTCCGTCGCGACGATAGCGATTATTAAAATAGTTTGCACAGGAACAGCGGTGAGACAGTAAGAGACAGACAACCTGACCAGTGATAGTGGAGTGATCGTTACAGGCGGCAACTTCGTGTCGTGCAACTATTGATAAAGTTTGGGAATGCAACTACACTTGATTGATAATGTGCACGCATTCCTTTCGCATGGAGATAGAGCCAGATCAACACGGTTATACATATAAACCCGACGAAATACAATTTCGGTGTTTTCAGGTTTACGAATGTTATATAGTTTCAATTAAAAACTTTGAAAAAAAAAATAAGTCAAGCGAACGGTTCGGTTATATATCGAAAGAAATATCCAGAATTTTCAGGTTTTCTGGGGAACTAACCGCTGATATGACATTTCTTGGCTGAATAGGAATTACTTTCAGTGTGGTAATTGATGTGGACACAGTATACTTTACGCCTAAATTAACGCTGATTATCCAACAAAAACGAGACAACTGCAAAATGCGAATTTCCTGGGAACCCATCGTCTACTTGAATATTAAAAATGACTCTTGAAATAAAAGTAGTTATTTTTTCCTGTCGCCACAACGTCGACAACAGCGAAATCTCCGTAATTCTGAGTCGTTATGAAACCCGAAATATTCTGTCCAACGTATAAATTTACTTTACGGCCGAGGTTACGGACATTTTGTAATGTGGGTCACCAAAACATGCTCAATTTATTGGTTTTGAACGATAATGGCGTAGTGTCTGGTAGGAACGATGTAAAGTTACGGTACTATATTTTGTCACTGTCCCCCGATGCACGCAAAGAGTTACGAAGCGCAACAGGGTGCTGGACGCCTTTTTCTCGTGTACGATCAAGTACATATTACATGGAACACCGTAATGGACTCCAAATACGTATTTCGGGGCACAGTTAATTCAGTTTTGTATTCTCGCTGCTATCATAGCTTATTTCCCCGGCATTTCTGACCTAACGCAAACGGTTAAAATACTGAATACATAACAACACGAACGTGACGTCAGCAAGGTGTCGGTCTACCTTAGATAAATAAAACTATTCAGAATCCGAACATTTTCCGACAAACATTTTTTGTCAGCGCCGCATGTCATTATTCAAATTATTCTCTCGTCCCTGCCTTTTCTTTTTTATAATAATTAGCATATTGTTTGTTGCAATTATTAGTCATCAACCATCTTTCTGAAATGTGTATTGCAAAACCATAGACCTCATTCTAAGGTACTAGTACATGGCAAAACACATCACAGATAGAGATAGAGATTAAAGGGCGGCGGTCGTCGCGGTGCGCTGCGCATGTGCGACACTTGTGTTGATAAACATTTTTTCCCCACAATTTACTGCCGGTCACTCCTTCAGTTTGTACTCGTTGATCTGTGCAACAGTCAAAGTCGCCATCTTCAGTTTGTTTATATGAGACTCATATATCCCGCATGCGTGGCGCGACGACCACCGCCCTGTAATTTAATGTTTCAATTTGACGCAATGTTTTCCCGAATAAATAATACATACATAACTAGTGGAATGAACGATGACAACAATAGAGAACAACACAAAATAAACTAGTACACTATAGGAATTAAAACAATTCCCATGACAACACTGAGAACACATTCATTGCCTAATTTAAATCGTCTTGAAATTATTAAATTAATTGTTAACTTCTTTAAACATAACATTTGATATGCCGTAAATTGTAATGAGGACTTAAGCTATGGGATCAGTTCATGCTTCCGGCGTTATTCTCGTACATATCTCGACAAAGATTGTTCAAGGAAATATTACGACAATTGTTTCGATGCATTCCCTAGATATTAAAATATAAACGAGGACCATGTTACTGACAATAACGTGTCCCTTGTAACTTGTAATTCTATTCCCATTGAAAATACGAGTGCACGTGAGTGGCTCTCGAAATCAATGCACATTACATTATTGTTACCAAAGCTACACAAAGTGGCACTTCAAATGATTGTACATTACATAACAGATACAATGGCTACATACGCGTGACACTTCAAATCAATGTACATTACATTACATTACATTACATTACATTACATTACATTACATTACATTACATTACCATATCTCCATACGTGTAACACTTTAAATCAATATACATGATCACATTACGGTTATCATAGCTACACACCACTGGCAACTCAAATATTTATGTAAAATATCAGTTCAAATAAGAATTTATAAAAATGGGATAGCAAATGTTCTGTTTCTTTCGTGAATTTCCCGGGCATTGGGAGAGGGGGTGGGGCTACGCACATTTGGAGAGTGACGACCGCACTGCATGTGATCGATACCTGGGCACGTAGGCAACTAAACAAAGCACATATAGCACAGTGCTATGAAAACCAGCTATGTGATTTACCACAAAGTGAATATGGTGTGGTCGTATCTGGTTGAGTCTTACCATGGACGTACTAGAGTCTCTAGTACGTCCATGGTCTTACTGACTTTGACGATGCTGTCGTTCGTACGATTGAATGTGAGGGCGCTGCCGTTAGTACTACAGTTGCTTGTTATTTTTAAAAGGTCCAAAATAACCTCCCTCATATAGGCTCTTGATCATATGTTGTTACCATGACAACATACGTATTGTCTTATTTTCGCACTTCATCTACACGGTTTACCTGGATGGCAAAACACTTAACATATAATGCAAATATAATGTAAATAAACACAATTTTCGGTCGTATAAAGGCTGGAACGGGTTCAGACTGATTCGCCCCTTATTGTGTCGACATGGTCGTAGTCGAAATCTTGTGATGTTGATCACTACGGGGCGTCTCCCGGGTCGCCTTGAAGTAACCGAAGTTCTACGCCCTTTTAAGCGGAACCAATAGATTTATATAAAATTTGAATGAAGGAAATAACAAAATTGTCATTTCAGAGGAAATAAAATACATATTTAGAATCAATCTTAGGGATACTTAGGGATGCATTGACTGGAACAAGTAAAACCAAATTGGATAGAAAATATAAACAAGTATAAACTGTTATCATACTCATCAACTACAATTTAATAATACATATGAATTTTCATCCCAAGCCACCGAGAATAATTCCGATAGAAATTTGCACAAAAGAAAACCAGTGTAAAATGCAATTCCCATGACATTTCGGACACTTGTTTTTTTTTAAAAAAAACTGGCTGGTGACCCATTTTTTCTCTACTTGGATATTTTAATGGTATTAACCCATAATATAAAAGCACGAAGAAGACGACAAATAATCTTCAATTCAGTCAGAATGTCATTTGTATATGCTCTTTTTATTATGCCGTCTTATTTAATATATTTTGTAATTAATCACTTATTGCTACAACCTAATGTCAATTTCTATTCAAGGAGGCAATGAATTAGAGGATGAAATGAATAAGACTTTCCAGTCGCCGTTCAGGCGTAGTGGTACTGGTTGATTAATGTCGACCATATGTCTGTTCCCATCTATTTGGCATGTCGCGGCGAACAAATAATAACCATAGTGAAGGTCAGCATCCAGGTTAGTTGATTCAAAAAGGATTTAAGTCGAACACACTATATCAATAGTCACGTTATTTATGTTATATATTACAACCTCTGCCACATTATAATACTGAAAACTAGTTTGGTTACAAAATCGAGGAGATAAACGGACTTTCTTCATTGACACATTTTGCAATTCGAGATTTCTTAAATGCGATATTTTTTGGTCAAATATCCTAAAATCGTACCTCTGATCAGCGAAAATTGTAATTTTTTTTGGAGAAAAAATGCTACCGCCACCAACGGCAGCGGTTAAAGTCTGAAAGCAATTACAATACCGAGAACTAGAATCAATATAACAGTATTATATTTCTTTCTAGCATTCTTGAGTTAGTATTATAAATTATCTTTGTTTAATGATAGCTATGTCCACACTACAATAGCCATGGCCATCTTTGGGTAGCTATGTTTACATTAACATAGTAATTACCTTATATGGATGTGGTAGAATAAAATAAAACATGCAGCTCAATAAGTTGTTTTCGTAGTGTTATTATATATACAGCACATACATGGTGTCATAAATACTGAACATACATGGTGTCATTATATACACAGCCCATACATGGTGACATTATATACACAGCCCATACATGGAGTCATTATATACACAGCACATACATAGTGTCATTATATACACAGCCCATACATGGTGTCATAAATACTGAACATACATGGTGACATTATATACACAGCCGATACATGGTGTTATTATATACACAGCACATACATGGTGTCATTATATACACAGCACATACATGGTGACATTATATACACAGCCCATACATGGTGTCATTATATACACAGCCCATCAATGGTGTCATTATATACACAGCACATACATGGTGTCATTATATACACAGCACATACATGGTGACATTATATACACAGCACATACATGGTGTCATTACATGCACAGCACATACATGGTGTCATTATATACACAGCCCATACATGGTGTCATTATATATACTGAACATACATGGTGTCATTATATACACTGCACATACATGGTGACATTATATACACAGCCCATACATGGTGTCATTATATACACAACCCATACATTGTGTCATTATATACACAGCCCATACACGGTGTCATTATATACACAGCACATACATGGTGTCATTATATACACTGTACATACATGGTGACATTATATACACAGCACATACATGGTGTCATTATATACACAGCCCATACATGGTGTCATTATATATACTGAACATACATGGTGTCATTATATACACTGCACATACATGGTGACATTATATACACAGCCCATACATGGTGTTATTATATACACAACCCATACATGGTGTCATTATATACACAGCCCACACATGGTGTCATTATATATACTGAACATACATGGTGTCATTATATACACAGCACATACATGGTGTCATTATATACACAGCCCACACATGGTGTCATTATATATACTGAACATACATGGTGTCATTATATACACAGCCCATACATGGTGTCATTATATACACAGCCCATACATGATGTCATTATATACACAGCCCATACATGGTGTCATTATATATACTGAACATACATGGTGTCATTATATACACTGCACATACATGGTGACATTATAAATACTGAACATACATGGTGTCATTATGTACACAGCCCACACATGGTGTCATTATATATACTGAACATACATAGTGGCATTATATACACAGTACATACATGGTGTCATTATATACACAGCCCATACATGGTGTCATTATATATACTGAACATACATGGTGTCATTATATACACTGCACATACATGGTGACATTATATATACTGAACATACATGGTGTCATCATATACACAGCCCATACATGGTGTCATTATATACACAGCACATACATGGTGTCATTATATACACAGCACATACATGGTGTCATTATATACACAACACATACATGGTGTCATTATATACACAGCCCATACATGGTGTCATTATATACACAGCTCATACATGGTGACATTATATACACAGCCCATACATGGTGTCATTATATACACAGCCCATACATGGTGACATTATAATACACAGCCCATACATGGTGTCATTATATATAAACTGTGCTTACATAGTGACAATATATAATGAACAAATCTGAAAAAGAAATTTTACTGAAATTATTTATTCTATAGAAAACCAACATTTAGATATTTAATTCGTCTGAGCGCCCTCTCTAGTCAAACATGAGAAAAATAAAAGATTGTTATCTAATGATATTTGCAGGACAATTATTGATGCCATGGTAACCACTTAATATGAAAAGAGAGAAGCCACATTACTGAGCGGGACCTCGCCGTGTTATCAGTCCTGAGTGAGTCTCCATCTCACTGATGGTAAACGACAAATGAATTCACTTTAAATTACTATGCATTATGATTGATATCAAGTGAGCTGCTTAAAGTGTGAAGATCACTTGCACTGAACCCGTCAGTACGTGACAATCTAGCCAAGCTTTCCACAGTCTCTCTCTGCGCTCACTTACTCTGACCGGATCGTCTGTACTTTGCTGCGTCTCAATCGATCACCACTCAAACCCTGGGAAATCGTCAGTGTAGGTACGTTACGTTCTCGTATATTCCCCCTATCACAGCTGGATACAATATAAATCAGTTTTGTAACACTATGCAATGTATTCGCTCTTCAAATATCTATGCTTTATTTTACAAATCTAACATTTTGCGGTCTGCCAATCAAGGGATTGTCGGTTTGCCTGTCGTTTATGCGTATTCTAATCATTTGGAATATGCGGATCATTGTCATAATAGAGGTGCACAACTTAATTATATTGGAATAGTACAGAATAGCAAGGATTTGTTTCCCAATAATTTAATATTCGAGTAAGCATTCAGTTTCTTCAAGGCCGCAATATGAGGCCCCACGGCGTTCCACTGATCTATGTGCGTGTCATATTATATGAGTGACACAGATTTTACGATAAACGCAATGGACATAGGTTAAATTAAGGTTCCAGTGCAGGTGTTATTTTTTCCTGATTTAATTACTAGATAAATATCAAAACGCTAAATTAGACATTGTTATGCAAGATGTAAACTGTATTCACTTATTAAAAATTCTGTTTGTTTAACAGTTTCATTTGCTGCATTACAATGCCTGAGTGCATTGGAGGGGCCTACAGGGTACTAAGTTGTACTTTTAAATAAGACTCGTCAGTTTACTACGAAGAACTACCAATTGCGTTGGCATGGTTAATTTATCCTCTGTAATCATGCTATTTAAACGTAGCTTTTAAGTTTAAATTGCCTGACTTGAGTAGCCGTGTTGTCCGAGTATCAGTCAGGGGTCCAGTAGTTACAAACTCCACGCTATCTTTACATCTCTCGTCTAATTTACCAACTAGGATTGCAGCCTCTATTTAACATACTGTATCGTCAAGGTCGTGTCAACTCTATATTCAGTGTATCGCTAGTTATTCTCTTATTTTTGTTGACAACTTCGTGTCGTCAATCGACAATGTTGTAATTGACGTGATATACAGCATAGCGTGATAAGTCAGTATAATTGCAAGGGGATTTGAAGATATCCATCCGCCAGATATGATCCATTAGGCTAGTCAACAGGGAGCAAGCTCTACTTTAATCTTCTTGTCCACTGCGCGCAACAAAATAGTTGATTGATGAGTGTTTTGAATGATATTTTAATGTAAACAGACATTTTTGTACCGATATGTACAACTCGTATCGGTGTTTTCTCTACTTGGTGGGCCTCAATGACATGTTCATCTACCCAGTATGCCTCATTGACAGAATTACGTACTCGACGTACCTCAATGAGAGAGCCTAAATGACAGAATTACATATTAAATTCAATGAAAACAAATCAATGAAAGAATTACATACTCAAAGTGCATTGAGAACACTTCAATGACACATTTACGTACTCAATGTGCATCAATGATATAGCCTTAATGGCAGGATTATATGCTTTATTGTGTATCAATGAGAGCACCCCAATAACTGAATTATATTTATGCCTCAATGAGAGTCCCAATGACAGAGTTTCGTAACCAACGTTCCCAAATTACGTACTTTATGTGCTTCAAGTACCTTAATGACGGAATTCATGCTCAATGTGCTTCGTACCTCAATGACATAACGACTTACTCATCTTGCCTCAATGGGAGAGTCTCGGTGACATAATTGTGTACTCAACCTGCCTTAGTGAGAACACCCCAGTAACAGATTTACGTATCTAATGTGTGTCAATTAAAGAACCTTAATGACAAAATTACATATTGATGCGCCTCAATGAAAGAGCCTCAATGACAGAATGGTGTGCTTTAGAATCTATCACGGTACGTCTAAATGAAAAACAAACCCCAGTGACAGAATTACGTAATCACTGTGCGTCAATGACATAATTACGTAGTCATTGTACCGAGGCATGGCGAAACGTTACACTGCAATGTTAAACAAGCTGCCAATTATATTTTAATGCCAGTGGGTTTGATTTTATTCGCGAATACAAATTTATCTAAATAGTTTGTGCTATCTTGAATTATAGTGCTAGTGGCAGGGGAGCTATTAATTCATTTAGATGTTCCGCCTCGATAGTCGTCATCTAACGAGTAGTGCTGCTTCGTAATTAATGTGATTAAGTAGCGAGGTTTAATTATGTGTCCAATTTTTGAATTAACATATTTAGTACATTTTATGGATGAATGGTCATAAATATGAACAATTTTCTATTTACCAAATAATCTCATTAATTTTAACTATCTAATCTAATTAGAAAATATAGCCAAATTTTCGTTGAATGTTTGTCTTGTTTTAAACTGAATATCCACTAGTACAATTATTCAATTGTTTTTTCAGTAATATAATTGTTCGATCATGTGGCACTTGTTTCTCAAATATAGATATCTACTAAGATAGTGTCATGCCAGACGGAATTTGGGTGTGGGTGTGGGTTTAGTAATTAATATTGTACTGGCAGACTGAATTGGGTTGGGGATAGTGATTGGTACTGGACTTCTAGACTGGTTTGAATTGGGGATAGTGATTGGGTACGGTACTGCTAGATTGGGTTAGATTGGGGATAGTGATTTGTACTGGACTGATAGACTGGAATGAATTGTGGATAGTGATTGGTACAAGACTGCTAGATTGGATTGAATTGGGGATAGTGATTGGATACGGTACTGTTGGTTTGGGTTGGATTGGGTCGGAACAGGGATGGTTGCAAGTTAGTGTCATACATAGGCTGCCAGACTGAATTTGGGTGTGGGTAGATGTTTATTAATTAATACTGTACTGGCAGACTGACCTGGGTTGGGGATAGTGATTGGTACTGGACTGCTAGACTGAGTTGAATTGGGGATAGTGATTGGTACTGAAACGCTAGACTGAGTTGAATTTGGGATAGTGATTGGTACTGAACTGCCAGACTGCGTTTAAATTGGGATAGTAATTGGGCACTGTACTGCTAGATTGGGTTGTATTGGGTCGGGGGGACAGGGTTGGTTGCAAACTGTATAATATTTGAGTCGTGTGTTGGTGGTGGTTGGGGAGTCGTACTAGTTAATGTAGTTTGTTTGGATGGAGATGAAGACAGCCATACTGGTAATGCAGTTTGTTTGGGTGTGGTTGGGGACAGTCATACTAGTAACGTAGATCGTTTTAGTGGGGTTGGGAGAGTCGTACTGATAATTTAGTCTGATTGGGTGGGGTTGGGGGAGTCGTACTTGTAAAGTATTCGATTAGGGTGGGGATGGGGACAACCATACTGGTAATTTAGTCTGATTGGGTGGGGTTGGGGGAGTCGTACTGGTAAAGTGTTCTATTTGGGTGGGGATGGGGACAGCCATACTGATAATGTAGTCTGTTTAGGTGTGGTTGTGGACAGTCAGATTGGAAGTGTAGTCTGAGTGGGGTTGGGGACAGTCAAACTGGTAATGTAGTCTGATTGGGTGAGGTTGGGTAGTCGCACTGATAATGTATTCTGTTTGGGAGGGGCTAGGGACAGCCATACTGGTAATTTAGACTGTTTTGGTGGGGTTGGGGACAGTCATATTGGTTGTTATTCTGATTGGTCGGGCTTAGAGACAACCAGAATGGGTGATATATAATTTGGGTTGGGCTGAAGACCGTTGAGGTATATACAAATACCACATAATATGTGTATATTTATAAATATTTCCTAATTTCACATTCAAACTGAATCAAGTTTCTATCGGTTAATTGAACAGCATTGGAACGTTTTCAAATGACGTTGTTGCGCACTGTCCTCATCGTTTGGATGGTTTGATTCAAATGCCATTCATAACAAAACATATAAACAAATAGAAATGCCTTTATTGTGCCGAGAGTAGGGTGAGTGCATCAAATCAGAAAAAATAATAATGCTGCTGCTGCTGCTTCAGATTGCAATTGTAAATTTTGTCTTGCTTGAAGCTGTGCTTTTATTTCTTTCCCGTTTCTTCTGTTTCATGTTTTGTCATGTAATTTGTTTTCAATTTAATGTATATAGTTTAATCAGTATTTTTTTTCCAGATGTATTACCAACCTGCACGTTACGTCTGTATTTCAAAGTTAAATAAAGTAATTGATTGATTGATTAATTGGTTATGTACATTCTGATAGGGTGGGATTATGGTCCATCAGACTAGTAGTGTACTATCGGATGGGGTGGGGGAGGGACCGCCGAATTTGGTAATGTATAGTCTGTATGTTGTGTGGGTGTGGTTGGGGACGGTCAGAACAGGTAATGAACTGCCTGATTGTATTGGATGTGGGCCTGATTGTGGAGAAGGTAAAATAGTGTGCTTGGATGTGCTTTAGACTGTTACACTCGGTATTATACTGATTAGGTGGGTAAGATAATGATGTCAGATGTTTAATTTCGTCAGCTTTTTCTTTACATATCACTTTTATCGTAAATGCTCTAATTAGGTATACAAGGCTCATCCTTAATATTTGAGCTCATATTGTTAGTCCCCGTTTGGACAGATGTATTGGTTTGACGATCCGATTCAAAATGGCCGAATGGCGGCAATTTTTGTGCTAAAAAATCAAGCATTTCAAGCATTTTGTTTTTCAGATTCGATTCAAAATGGCCGACCGGTGGATATTTTGTTTTAATTAATGCTGTTCCAGAGCAATATCTCTCAATATGGACAAGTACTCGTTTGTCGATCAGATACAGGATGACTGAATGTCAATCATTTTAATGTTAAAAATCATCATTAGCTTCTGTATATAACTTAAATTTGATAACTAACGGGGACTGTGCCATGCATACTGTAACTGTAACCACCTATCAACCGCTTATTCACCTGAGTACATGTTTTCATTAAATAAAAACCGTTTCATCAATATTGTAGCTCATGAAAAACCTCACTGAGAGCTATTTTTTAACTCATTCTCCAGCATTGAGACTTCTTAAATCGGTTATACATTATCTACAAATCAGGTTGGTATTAGTGTTTATTAAAAGTTGGGCCGATTAGTTAAACTGAAGTGAAGCACATTTGTTGGTTCGTTGTTTGTCGTGTAAATTGATGAGTAGTAGGCAATTACTATTTTACAACAAGACCCTGGGATTCAATCAATCATTCATAATCAGAATCACGATGTCTGTATTTTATAACTCTTCCACATGGATGAGCGCTACCGTTGAACACATATTGAGTGTAATTGAGTTTCCAGTCTGCAAGAAGTTTCAATAAAAAGCTGAGTTTCAAAAAAAGCTGAGTATCCAACCTAAAATACAACTTACAAAGTACAACATAACATGATATTAACCGTTTTACGAGGAGATATTCGGTCGTGGGTCGAGGGCAGTTGGCATTTGAATTTATACGGAGTGTGTATGTGTTGCAGCTGGGGGTTGCGGGTGCTGCATCTATGGTGTGTGGATGTTGCACTTCTGGAGTATGGGTACTGCACCATTGGTGTGTGGACGCTGCACCTGTGGTGTGCGGATGCTGCACATGTGGGTGTTCCACCTATTGGATGTGGTACTACAAATATTGGGGAATAATTAAAGAAGTTTAGTGCCCAACCTGAAAGAAGTTTCAATGTCAATTAATACCCCCTTTTAGCGTACAACTTAAAGGTAAAATATAACCTTTGGCCTACACTGGTAATGGATAATCTCGACTTTACAAGTATTTTACAAAAAAATCCTTGAGGTTTCCAGACAATATTTCCGGGAATCAGACTTTGTCGAGCGGAGCTTATCATATGAGTGATTGTCCGTCGGCGTCCGGCGTCCGGCGTCCGTCGTTCGTCGTTCGTCGTCCGTGTCAATGTTTTACTTTTTCGACTTCTTCTTGAAAACTACAAGCCTGAATGCTTTGATACTTGGTGTGTATGTACCTGGGGTAGACCTCTCTTAGATTTGTTCATTTCATGATGATATCTTCAATTCTCTAATTTTGGTGAATATTTTTGTAATTTTTGGTAAAAAGTGATATTTTCGACTTCTTGTTAAAAACCGCAAGTCCAATTGCTTTGATATTACATATATAGATGCTACATGTTGACCTTTCTGAGATTTGTTCATTTCGTGATGATATCTTTAATTCGCTAATTTTGGTAAATATTTTTGTCATTTTTGGTAAAAAGTGATATTTTTTACTTCTTGTTAAAAACCACAAGTCCAATTGCATTGATATTACATATATAGGTACTACATGTGGACCTCTCTCAGATTTGTCTATTTCATGATGATATCTTCAATTCTCTAATTTTGATGAATATTTTTTGTCATTTTTGGTAAAAAGTGATATTTTCAACTTCTTGTTAAAAACCTCAAGTCCAATTGCTTTGATATTACATATAAAGGTACTACATGTGGACCTCTCTCAGATTTGATCATTTTGTAATGATATCTTCAATTCTCTAATTTTGGTGAATATTTTTGTCATTTCTGGTAAATAGTGATATTTTCAACTTCTTGTTAAAAACCGCAATCATTTATGGTGAAAAATGGTATTTTTGAATTCTTGTTGAAAACAGCAAGTCCCATTGCATTGATACTATGCATATTGTTCATTTTCTAATGATATCTTCTTCTAATTGAAATGTGCATTGCGGAGCTATCTCAGCCAAGAGGCTGCTTGTTTAGATAACTGGTCCCTTGTGACTTGCTTGAAGTAAATTGCTTGAATAATGGTTAATTGTAATTTGGTGAATTGCTTGAACGGTGTCTGGATCATCGTGATTTTGTGAATTGCATAAATGGCCACTGAGTTTTGTTGGCCACGTGAATTGATCTCTTGTGACTTGGTGAATTGTATGAATATTCACTTGTCCCTTGTAAGTTGGTGAACTGTCACTGGTTCCTTGTGACTTGGTGACTTTCGTGATTGTTCATTGTACCCTTGCGACCTAGTGAATTGTGTGAATTGTCACTGGTACCTTGTGATTTGGTGAATTGCTTGAATGTTCACTTGTCCCTTGAGACTTGGTGAATGGCTTGAATGTTCACTCGTCCCTTGTGACTTGGTGAATTGCTTGAATGTTCAATGGTCCCTTGTAACTTGATGAATTGCTTGAATGTTCACTGGTTCCTTGTGACTTGGTGACTTGCTTGAGTGTTCACTTGTGACTTGGTGAATTGCTTGAATGTTCACTTGTGACTTGGTGAATTGCTTGAATGTTCACTGGTCCCTTGTGACTTGGTGAATTGCTTGAATGTTCACTGGTCCCTTGTGACTTGGTGAATGGCTTGAATGTTCACTGGTTCCTTGTGACTTGGTGAATTGCTTGAATGTTCACTTGTGACTTGGTGAATTGCTTGAATGTTCACTTGTGACTTGGTGAATTGCTTGAATGTTCACTTGTGACTTGGTGAATTGCTTGAATGTTCACTGGTCCCTTGTGACTTGGTGAATGGCTTGAATGTTCACTGGTCCCTTGTGACTTGGTGAATTGCTTGAATGTTCACTGGTCCCTTGTGACTTGGTGAATTGCTTGAATGTTCACTAGTCCCTTGTGACTTGGTGAATTGCTTGAATGTTCACTTGTGACTTGGTGAATTGCTTGAATGTTCACTTGCCCCTCGTGACTTGGATTGCAGGAAAGGACGCATGCTGTTCTTATTTTTTATGGGAATGTATCTTACAGAATAAAAGGGTGCATGACGGAAGAATGGCGAATCTATCATGAGATGGATCACTAATGTAACTGTTAAATGCGTTCATTTTGATTTATTGTTTTTTCTATAATGTCCCAGCTGCATGGTTATTATTGATTAATTATTTAATAGAAAGGCAAATTATCCGTCATAATTTCTCGTGAATAAGTCAATTTTTTATGACAGTTTGTAGCCATTATTTTTTCGGGTATGATTAAAATACAGTGTTCCTATTTTCTCCCCCTTGAAATAAATTTGAATACGCTCCAACGTTTTAATTCTGTATACCAGCTTCATTCAGTGGCAACACTATCCAGCGGCTTGACTCATTCAAACATTTACTCACTACTCACAGAAACAGACCAAGACCGCATCCTCAACACAGATATTATACTTACTTATGTATGAACTATGAAATGAGGTAAAATAACTAAAACACACGTTATTTATTTTTTCATTTTACATTGACATAATATGTACAACATTAATCAATAATTGACATGTTATAACAAGAGTGGACTGTTTTATTTACTTGATACTTAATTGCAGGCAATACTATGCAAAGCCAAGCAGTGCTGTGGTTTGTCACTCTGTACGCTAAATATAAATTTTATATATATTTAGGACTTTTTTTTAATATCATATACTGGAGTCTATGTTACAGGTCCCATGGCAAGAAATGTATATACGCTGTAAACGATGATTGGGCACGATTCGTCTAACAAGAATAATTGAGCAGCTGGCGTCACGCTGGGTGTAATGGGCGGTGCCGTTGGCATTCTCCTAGTTAATCACAGCTCTTTGTTAACAATTAATAAAACCTACACACATTATAAATATTTATAACCAGTTGCTAATTGAAATGGAGGGGAAACGACAGTAGTTTATTAATTATTGGCAAGCCTCAATTGTTAATTCTTGTATCACGACCGCCAAACACATCCATCTAAATTGAAATTCTAGTCTACCCATTCATGTTCGTAAAGAATTCACTAACATAGTGACATGATACTTATACTGCATAATAACATATTCCGTATTTTTGTTTTTGTATATTATTAGGCATTGCAAGTATATGGGCGTATCACCATGGTTTCCTGTGCATTATTCGCGTGTATATATATATCTCTAATGCTAAATTATAGTGCCCAAGCTGACGAAGATTATGATTACGTGGTATCTACTATGTACGGCAAGGTCCGTGGATATCGCATACAAGTTACAGAGAAATATGTAGATCAATATTTGGGTATCCCGTATGCCACGCCACCCGTCGACGAATTACGTTTTAAACCAACCACACCTCATCAACCATGGAAAGGCACGTTGAATGGTACACGGTATGGTAAAGGGTGTATGCAGTTACCAGATACTCAATTCGGCGATTTTGAAGGTACTAATATGTGGAATCCTAATGTCTTACTTGATGAAGATTGTCTGTATCTTAATGTGTGGACACCACATCCAAGACCAACTAATGCTGCAGTTATGGTTTGGATTTATGGAGGCGGATTTGTAGCTGGTGTAGCCTCATTGGAAGTATATCATGGAGCTACCCTTGCTGCCACAGAGGGAACCATCGTGGTGTCGTTCAACTACCGCGTTGCATCATTGGGATTCTTCTACCTGGGTCACGAGGACGCGCCTGGCAATATCGGACTGCTAGACCAAGTATTAGCTTTGCAGTGGGTTCAAGACAATATCATTCATTTTGGTGGCGATCCTACTAGAGTTACAATATTCGGAGAAAGTGCTGGATCTGTTAGTGTTGGATTGCATCTGCTCTCACCTGTGAGTCGCAATTTGTTTGCGCGAGCTATCCTTCAAAGTGGAACACCTAATAATCCCTGGGCCACTGTGACGGCAGACGAAGCTCGGCGTAGAAGTCTAAAATTATCCAAAGAATTAGGATGTTATAATGAACATAGTATGACCAATAATGAAGACATTGCTTTGTGTATGCGAAGGCAGGATGCACGAGATTTAATAAGCAGTGAATGGTTTGACGATATGCATGGCATTTATCGTTTTCCATTTATACCAGTTGTTGATGGGACGTTCCTCACAGAAACACCCCAATCGTCATTAGAAAGACATGCATTCAAACCTACCTCTGTCATGCTTGGGACCAATAAAGACGAAGGACCATTTTTCATCATTTATTATGTACCAGAGTTTCGTTATGACAATGAGAGCTTAATTGATCGATCTGTTTATAAAAAGGCTATAGACATTGGTTTTAAACATCTGAACAAATTTGGGCGTGATGCTGTTGCTTTCAGGTACATCAACTGGTGGGACACTAATGAAGGTGCTATGTTACGTGATGGATTCAGTAATATGATTGGTGATGAAAACATTCATTGTCCTGCCCAAGAGTTTGCATATTCATATGCCACTGGCCAGGAGGATGTGTATTTATATTATTTCACACAACGTGCATCCAATAGTTTGTTTCATCCATGGATGGGAGTGCTACACGGTGATGAAATTGCATATGTATTTGGACTGCCACTTCATGAACAAGGTAATTACTCAACTGGGGATATTGCTGTCAGTCGTCACGTCATGAGAAGCTGGGCTAACTTTGCCAAAACTGGGTATGTATTATTAATCTGGTAAAACTGACTCTCGATGACCATAATTGTAATACAACATATAGTAGAATTATTTTATTTTTTGTTCATTGGTTCTTTTTATTCTGTTTTGTGCACAGAAATCCTAATAAATCTTCATTGGACGAGGTGGTAGAAGAAAAGTGGCAGAAATACACACCGTCAGAAAAACACAATTTTGTGATAAGTGCGGCAACCCTCCCAGATGGAGAACCAAACTCAAGAGGTTCACGACTGGATTACTGTGCATTTTGGAGAGAATATATTCCTAATTTAGTTACAACTACTGGTAAGTACGGGTGATGATTTTATGAAACACAACATATTTTGTGTATATGTGTATTTCTTGGAAAAGCATGATCCAGTGATGATTTAATTATTTGTGTCAATTCATATACAACTATGCATGTCATTGTAGCGTATTATTTGCCAGGTTTGATTTACTCAGCTGTTCTATCACTAATCTCATCAATTCTGATGACAAAATACCATCAGTCCCAGGCAGCTCTCTGAAGCCAAAATACCATCAGTCAAAGACTGCTCTCTGAAACCAAAATACCATCAGCCCCAAACTGCTCTCTGAAACCAAAATACCATCAGTCCCAGACTGCTCTCTGAAACCAAAATAACATCAGTTCCAAACTGCTCTCTGAAACCAAAATACCATCAGTCCAAGACTGCTCTCTGAAACCAAAATACCATCAGCCCAAAACTGCTCTCTGAAACCAAAATACCATCAGTCCCAAACTGCTCTCTGGAACCAAACTACCATCAGTCCCAGACTGCTCTCCGAAGCCAAAATACCATCAGTCCCAGACTGCTCTCTGAAACTAAAATACCATCAGTCCCAGACTGCTTTCTGAAACCAAAATACCACAAGTCCCAGACTGCTCTCTGAAGCCAAATTACCATTGGTTCCAGACTGCTATCTGAAGCCAAAATACCATCAGTTCCAGACTGCTCTCTGAAACCAAAATACCATCAGTCCCAGACTGCTCTCTGAAACCAAAATACCATCAGTCCCAGACTGCTCTCTGAAGCCAAAATACCATCAGTCCCAGACTGCTCTCTGAAGCCAAAATACCATCAGTCCCGGACTGCTCTCTGAAGCCAAAATACCATCAGTTTCAGGCTGCTCTCTGGAGCCAAAATACCGTCAGTCCCAGATTGTTTTCTTTCACCAAACTACTCTAAGTCTCAAGCTACTCTCTGAAGCCAAACTACCACCAACCCTAGACTGCTCTCTGGAGTCAAACAACCATAAGTTCCAGACTGTTTTCTGCAGCCAAACTACCACCAGTCTGAGACTTCTCTCTGGAGCCAAAATACCATCAGTCCGAGACTGATTTCTAAAGCTAAACTACCATCAGTCTGAGACTTTTCTCTGGAGCCAAAATACCATCAGTCCCAGACTGCTTTCTGGAGCCGAACTACCATCGGTCCCAGGCTGCTCTCTGAACTCAAACTACCATCGGTCCCAGACTGATTTCTAAAGCTAAACTACTACCAGTCTGAGACTTCTCCCTGGAGCCAAAATACCATCAGTCCCAGACTGCTTTCTGGAGCCCAAAAGCAATCAGTTTCATACTGCTTTCTGAAGCCAAACTACTACCATCAGTCTCACTGCTCTCTGTACCCAAACAATCATCAGTCCCAGGCTGCTTTTAAAGCCAAATTACCGGTAGTTTCAGACCACTCTAGAAAGCAGACGGTCATACAGTAATGAATATTTCTTATATGTTCGAGGAGGGTCACACAACAACAATCACTGTACATTAGTGGTATGTTAGTGGTATTGATTTTTCATATAACAGAAATGTTGTGTATCCAGCGAATACAAATGTTAATGATTAATTCGATTTCAATGTACAGTATCGAAAACAATATTAAATATGTATGTTCTCGTCCATATTGCATCTCAAACAATTGAAAATGAAATTTGAAGCAAGTTAGTGTTTCATTTTGACGTGTATATTTTCCACTTGTACATAAATGCAGTAATTACATCAATATCAGTAAATGCCCCCATTATATACATGGTGTCATTCTATCTACTGCACATAAATTGTGTCATTATATACACTGCATATATATATATGGTGTCCTTATATGCACTGCGCATACATGGTGTCATATACATTGCACATATATGTTGTCATTATATTCAATGCACATACATGGTGCCATTATATGCACTGCACATACATCATGTCATTATATACACTGAATGTATGAGGTGTCATATACAATGTGCATGAATAGTGTCATTATAGATATGCATGATGTCATTATGTTATATAATATGCATTATCTTTATAAACTCTCCACACTGTCACTGTCAATATCTGTATTGTATTGTATTTGATTTCATTGTGAATATTATGAATCCAAAATGACACTTGGATGTTCACAATTTCATTCACAATTCTGTATGTTCATATTTCGTTGTTTCAGCTGATATTAAAGAAGAAGAGCAAAAATGGAAAGAGGAATTCCATCGATGGAGCACTAAATATATGGTGGACTGGAAAGCAGAATTTAACCATTATGTTACTAACCGGGGACAAGGATGTGATGCGGATGTCAACGAATGAAATGTCGAAACACTGAGAACTAAGGCACAAGCATTCTGATAGACAGACATACATAGGAACATATGGCGCTCAATGCATGTGTTTGGTTGACGAGAAGCACTCATGTATGTAGCTAGCTAGGTAAACATGTGTGATATGAATGAGTAGCGAATAGGATTATGGGGTCCCGGCAAGGAAAGGCGCCCTGATAGACAGAGACAGGGAGGCAGGTATCAGTATTACGATTGTTGTCTGAGTATAGGTCATTCTCTTTTATACTTCCGTTAAACGGGTGGTGTTTTTATGAAACATTTTCACGTGAGTTATTTATGACACTAATAATAAAAATACGTACACGTTTCTGTAATATGGACTGATATGGTCATGTGACATGGTCATATATTTGAATCATACTTCCAGTGTCAAATTGTATTATTGTATTGTAATATTTATTGTTTGGTTAGATAACAACTCTGTGTGATATGTATTACATGTTTTTTCTATACAAATTTCCTGTTGTTATGTGGAGTCTATGGAACAATGGATTTTCATAACTCATTTATTGAGCAATAATAATATTTAAATAATATTGTATGTTATATATGTAAGTAAATAATGAAATGTTGGAATATATGTAAATACGGCTTGGTATTATTTAATGATTAGAAGTAACTATTAGGTCTAGAAACCATAGTAAATAATATATCAGTATGATATAGTAAAGAAGCAGAAAATGTAATTGAAAATGATTACGTAATATGAATGGCAGTCGTGAATCACTGCCAAATAACGTGTGTACGGTTGTAAGCGTAGACCCCGGAAATGCAAGAGGTGAAGGCCACATCGAGAACTAATCAGGTGGAGGTCGAGGCTAAATCGAGATAATGAGGAAGCCGGAACAAGATCTTGGGTCAGGTGGAGGTCATGGCCAAAGTAGTGAATGTGCACTTATTTTGGCATTCAGGAATATACTACAACGGTTCACAGTTTTACATTATTTTTATTCTTTCCGATTTATATTTACACGGGTTCCGATTTGCACATTGACTTGTATAATGTGGATAACAATCGCTTTCTTCGCTAGTTGTTGTCACGTGACCCATTTAAGTGTTGATTTTGTAAATGAAATAAATTAATTGATTTTTCACGAATGTATTCTTTGACTAGGATTTATTGAACGATCGGTCACAGTGTGAAGTATGAGCGAACACTTCTATGGACCAAGAGTCAGTGCGTTAAATCCGGTTGTCATAGAAACGAAAATTAAAATGCCCGGAATAGGAACCCATTGTGATGCAATTAGTGACTATTATGACAATTCTGTGCGTTTACAATGAATAGCATCATCAGCGACCAATGTTGACGTCACATAGTGAAATATATTGCCTGATATTTGTTGTGTCATCTTATGATAATTAGTATGTGTGGTGATACGTAATGTCAGTCATGTGTCTCATTAATATGTTATTCACATAATTGGATGAGGCACGATAGAAAAGACGGCTCGTAGTTATTTTCTAAAATATGTTCAATGGATGTGAGCTAAGGATATCGTAGTCAATCCAAAAACTAGTAAAATATACCCTCCCTTGGGACTTACTGAGTTGTCCATGCAAATCCAGTATTAATCAAATTAGTCTACGTGTAGGGGAAGGTCAATTGCAGGTGATGTTACTTGCATGAAATAGTAATAAGAAAGTTTGTAAGACATTCGTTGGGGGAAAATCGAAACAAAAATTAAAACAAAACATTTCGAATTTCAAATCCATTGTATGCGATTTCGTCTGTTTAAATGACATATGTAGACACACTAAGTTGTCTGTGTTTATTTGGTCTATTCAAATGACATATATAGTAACTCTCAGCCGTCTATGTATTATTTGGTCTATTCAAATGACATGTGTAGTCATTCTCAGTCGTCTGTGTGTGTTTGTGGTCAATTAAAATGACATATGTAGACACACTCAGTCGTCTGTGTGTTATTTGGACTATTCACATGGCATATGTAGACACTCTCAGTCGTATGTGTATTATTTGGATCATTCACATGGCATATGTAGACACTCTCAGTCGTATGTGTATTATTTGGACTATTCACATGGCATGTGTAGACACTCAGTCGAATGTGTATTATTTGGATCATTCATATGGCATATGTAGACACTCAGTCGTATGTGTATTATTTGTACTATTCACATGGCATATGTCGACACTCTCAGTCGTATGTGTATTATTTGGACTATTCACATGGCTTATGTAGACACTCTCAGTCGTATGTGTATTATTTGGACTATTCACATGGCATATGTAGACACTCTCAGTCGTATGTGTATTATTTGGACCATTCACATGGCATATGTAGACAATCTCAGTCGTAT